GGTGAAACTGCCATCTCTATCCCTATACAACCTTTCCCTGTGCTCACTTCTACATACCAACTCCAACTACCTACTCCCGTTGTGTTAGTTATCAGCATGCTCGATTACTCCCCCCCCCCCCTCCCCTGTGCCAACTCCCAGCCCCGTATCCCGAACTTTGCAAAAAATTGATAAAATTGATAAAACTAATGGATAATTCCAAAACTAATAGTGTACTCATAATCAGCGCGGTCGATTACCCCCTTTTCTGTGCCAACTCCCATCCTCGTAGCTCAAACTATACAAAAAATCGATGAAATCAATGAAACTAATGGATGATTTTGAAAACTAGTATTGTATTCGTAACCAGCATGCTCGATTACCCCCCTCTCTCGCGCTAACTCCCAGCCTCGTAACTCAAACTCTGCAAAAAAATCGGTAAAATTAATATTAATGGATAATTTCAAAAACTAATATTGTATTTGTAATCAGCATGCTTGATTATATCCCCCCTGTACTCCCAGCCACGTAGCTCAAACTTAACAAAAAATCGATAAAAATTGATAAACTTGATATCGATCGTTAACGAAAACTAGACGGCACCCGCCCCGCTCCAAAATGTATGTGTGCCAAGTTTGTTCTGGATCGGTTCAGAAATGAATTTTTCTATTTGGAACATACGTATAGAGAGACAGACAAACAGAATACAGACATATAAGCAAACATTCAACTTTATGTATGAGATAGATATCCTCCAAAAAGTCTTAAAATTTTCAAAATATGGGTCTTCGTATAACTATGAGTCGTATTTCACCAGGCAACCTTATCGCATTACGAAAGCAAGAGCAAGAGCAGTGCGTAATTTCTCAAACGTGTGCAAAGCCTTTACTTGTCAAAAACTCGCCAATATTCATTCCTGCCTAAGAATAGAGCTCAACAGTCATCAGATAACAAGTTGCCAGTTTTTTGATCAGCGAGAGTTTTTTTATTTTTTCGACACATTGTCATGTTATGAATTTTAGACATGGATGATTGTTTTTCTCGATTCCAAATTGAAAGCTTTCAGCAAGTTTTAATGTTGTCTCAAACATCAAATAAGATGCTTCACTAGTGGGACATAGCGGGTGTATTTTACTCAGATAAGCCACGGGAAAAACCTTTCTTAGAACTAATTCTGGCGACACCTGAATAAATAAAGTACTGCGGCAAGAACATATTCCCAACACAAACTGTAAGTCTTTCTAGCTCTTAAAGGCAGTGTCCCACCAGACTGGGGATATCTGACTCTCGTAATGATGTGATAAGAGACCGCCTACCTAAGCGATGACTGAAGTTCGGAGCGAAAAAGGGGTCTACCAAGCCTGAAATTTGCTCCGAAAGTGGGCCGAATCTTACGGTAGCGCCGAACGCCGCCTACTCGGCAATATCGATTTGCAGGGCTAGAGTGCGTATAGCGCACACATCGTGAGCGCAGGGACCCGCAACAACTCTGCGGCTCTACCTGCACTCGCCCGAGCCTACCGTAAGATTCGGCCCACTTTCGGAGCAAATTTCAGGCTTGGTAGACCCCTTTTTCGCTCCGAACTTCAGTCATTGCTTAGGTAGGGGGTCTACTATTACATCATTATGAGAGCCAGGTACCCCCAGTCTGGTGGAACGCTGCCTGCCTTTAACTGCACTGTCTCAACTGAAACGCCAGGCAACATTTCTTTTGAGACATTGTCATAGACCAAATCTATAATTATAACAAATCCACTGTTTGTTGATCGATAATCACCTTTTTGGGTAAAATGTATAGCTGTCATTATGAAGGTTTGCAATTTTTTGTAGGCAACACTGCTGTACGTGTGTAACTAACAATTTTTTTGAAATCTAGCTCATGCTTACCAAAAAATCTTTACGTTCAGTAATGACTTTCGGTTAGACAGAAAAAAGTTTTCTTTACTCTAGATTTTAAATGACAGCAGCTCACTTGCATCGAAGTACTCGTTCGATTGATTGCATATAAACGTTCATCCTATATTATCGTGACTTATAACAAAGTTGATGTCTGTCTTTTGTCTTTATGTCTGTTACGCAGACAGGCTCCCGAGCCAAGTTTTTGCATAACACAACCTACCAGCATGTATAGGGGTCTGCAGGATCGCGAGAGTCGAACGTGCGTACGGCCATTGCGCAGCGCACGTCAGATGTGCGTCCGACGACTCAGGTAGGTGCCGGGCTTATCCTGTTGAACAGGCTCATTCGTTTCAGCACCTTTGCTGTTGAACAGTGTAGTGATTTAACCTATGAACCGAACGAACCGGCTGAAGCGGATAAATCTGGCATTTCCCTTATGACATCGGACGTGCGCGGCGCAATGGCCGTACGCACGTCCGACTCTCACGATCCTGCAAGCTCCTATACGTCTATTACGCACAAGGATGAGTCGGCTCAATACGAGGATTCTTTGAAAAATGCACGTTATACGGTCCATGCGGCTTTTATCTTGCAAAATGAGTCTGATCTAAACTTCTTGCAAAGTTATGGTTTTGTTCGATTAGTGAATCTTCAAACTATGAAGGCGTAGCTTACAATGATCATTTCTTTGAGCAACAACTGAAACAAAAGGAATTTAGTAACTTATTCAAGTTCGAATTTGTTCTTCTGCAAAGAAGTTTTTTACCTTTGAAACCACCGGTGCTGAATACATAAAAGGCTTTAGAAGTGTGTGTTTGCTTATTATTCATTTGTGTGTTCGAGCTGGGCCTGTATCCAAACTTCTTGCCAAGTTATGGTTTTGTTCAACTAGTAAATCTACAAAAATGTAGCTCGCAGTTATTAATGCGTGAGCAGCTACTAAAACAAAAAAATTAGTAACTTATTCAAGTTTGAATTTGTTGCCTGCAAACAAGTCTTTTACATCCAAACCACCGACCCAACATAAAAAAGCTTCAAAATGTGTGTTTGCTTATAAGTCATTTGTGGTATTCAGCGTTGCGCGATGGGTTTCAAAGGCTTGCTATGATTCAAGAAGCGGGGAAAGGGAGCATGAGAGAGGCATAGGTATAGTAAAATTAGTGCGAAACTCTGCTTCCATTCAAAAGATACGAAAGCTCAGCCAAAGTTTCCTTATTTTTGGGGGGGAGGGAGACGAGGAAAATATTTAAATTGTATAAAGAAGTCACACACGCAAAAACCAAATTTCGCAAATGCGCTTTTATCCTTCCAAACCTCAAAAAATTGTGTAAAAAATGTTCTTAGAAAGTTTGCTCAGGTAAAAGTAAAAATTTATTTGCATGGGCTAGATAAGAGAACATACTAATTTGCTGGTTTTACCGGTCCTAAAACAAAAGATTGCGATTCATATGCAATCAAAAGTAAGTTCTGAACTTACTGCACTGGTTTTCCCTGGTTTTCATCGATTTCTTTCGTTACTTTTCAGTTTACATTCTTTTCATTTCCTTTTTATTTTTGATTCAGGCAGCTTCCACTTTTAACGCGTTAAAAAGTCAAACAACCATCGCATTTTAGACATTGTCCGAATACGTAGATGACCTGCATCTACGTAATGTGCGGATGACAGCATGGATGTAATCATCTTTGCATGTCTATATATCGCTGACATCCACGATCTTTGTGCTGACAGTAGGTAGTTGCCAGAAGTTTCGCGTTCAAGTCTACAGTTGATTTATCCGCTGAGTTTCAAGTTTTACAAACACGTCTGCCCATCCGGTCGATGTACCCCCATCTCCTGTCCTTCTGAAAATTTTCGTTTTTTAGGGATGGGATGATAAGCGGAAAGGGTTGGTATGAAGTTCTGCAAATAAGTCGAGGTTACTTCTTGTCTGCACTAGTGCTGCCAGCAGTACATGTTCTCGATTCTACTAGCACTTTTTTAGTTTTTGTCCTCCTTCGCATACATCGTGTACTTACGAAATTTTTTTTCAAAGCTGTTCTGCAGCTGTTGCTGCTGGTCGTGCTTTGCTTCACAAACCATTAATTTCACATTACAAAGCCTCGAAATGATTCGCTTACATTTGTTCTATCAAGATCAACACTGAGAGGTAGGAGGCAATGCAGATTACTTTGACCGCATGTTAGGACTTCGAGCACGACGACCTGCCGCGCATGCCGCGGTTTTTATTTTATCTTGTAAGGAAGGAGGCATATATAGAGTAATCCTGACGAGGGCAGTAGAATGATTTGCGAATGGGTTGAACAGCGTCGTGCGACTCTCATTATTTTGCATACTCCTTCGTTTCACGGGAAATTGCTGTCTTCATGTAAAGCTAAGCTTGTGGTCGCGTGCGGTCATCACTTTCTTGTAGTTTCGTACACATACGAGTGTTTTCCATGGTATAGCGGGCGTGGCCGTGCATTTGAATACGCTGAAAAACTTGTTAAACCTCCACTCTAAAGCATTAGTTTTTGTACTCTCTAGCTACCAAAACTGCCACGCGCATACTTCGGGAAACGTCGGCAAAGCTCCGCCCGCTATACTGTAGGGAAAAGACGATAACAAACATAAAACGAGACTGTGATGGGACACAGTTTGTAAAATCGCAATTCTATTTCAACGTAGTTTAAACTACGTCAAATATGAAGAGGTAGCGCAGTGCAAGGCTGAGTAAGAAAGTACATCAGAAACATTAAGTAACCAGTGCTTCACCTCTGCTTCGCAGAGGTTCGCACTGGCCATTATGGAAAGTGTAGGTAAACTTACATAATGATCTTGGCCTTCATCATTCTTTGATGGAGGAGATCGCAAAGTAATTACAAAAATAAACCTTACTTGCTTTGCAACTCTCACATGCATTTAAGCAATGTAAATCATTCCTCACTGTAATTTCGTAACGGACAAACTCCACACAACTTCAGATTAAGCCGCTTATTATAAGTCATGATATCAGTAAGTATCAGAAACATTAGTCGTGACTACTGATGTATCCAAACCAGCACTGACAGTAAACACAAGGGCAAAAGCTTTTTCTAACTAATTAAAGCATTTGTCATCATAATCCGTGTTACTACTGCTTTAGGAGTTGAAAATATTTTTACCAATTTATTTACTTACGATGATGTTATTAATGTGGGAACATCACTGATGTTCATGGTTTTCGATGTAGCTATATATATCATATCGGCAGTCTTTCTGGATTATATGTTGCATGCACCTATTCCCTTCTGTTATCGCAGATTTCTTGCAAATGTGAAAACAGTGAGTATATGTAAGTTTCTTTCGCAACTATCTTCATCACAAAAAAATGTTGAGACTCCCGATAATATCGAATCCTATCACGAATCATGGCACGAAAAGTCTACAAAAGTAGGTGAACCAGCCCTACTAGTAGATTCTGTGAGTAAAGTATGGGAAAACACCGGAGAGGTGGCTGTGAACAAAGTTAACATGAAGGCTTACAGTGGACAGGTATTACCATATTAATTTGCTACGATAAATACTGGTGATTGTATTTTTAAAGAATATTGAGAACGAGTAAAACGCAAGGATTTCGGACTTGTTCTTGAGAATCTTTTTCAGTTCGCAAATGAAGTAATTGTGTAGAGCTGGAACAGTACTAGTAAAAGCAATACTAGTAAAAGCAATTTTCATTTCTACTTTAAACTTTTGCTCAAGAAGGTATACCTTAGGCGACGTTTTCAAAATATTTGATCGCCGCGAATAGGCGGTTTGACCACCGTTTACCGCGTTAACGCTTGTCGCTTGCTAACCGCATACACCTGTAGAGATTGCGTGCATTACACCTTACACTTACTACGAGCATATCGAACGTTTGGCTGACTTGCTCAAACTGTACTCGTGCAATTTGATAAAATCATGCAATTTTGCGCTTATTCGTGTCATTGTTATGTTCTATACTTTCGAGAAATCCTTTATGCATATTTCTCGAATGACCGAATTCTTTATATCCTATGACTTTGTTTCAATTTTCATAAGAAGGAAACTGAATAAATTGCCTCATTGTAAGCGCTGCATAATGTGCACGCTTACAGACAGTGGCTCTGTAAATTTCAACCTAGTCAAATTTGCGCTTACCTGGGTTTATTGAGTACGTTGATCTCGAAAATCCACTTTTGGAAGCTTGTAAATGGCGAAATTGAGCGTTTTAACGCCCTTCCTTTTGGAATTGGACGAGTGGAGCAAGGCTGATGACGCTAGATCCTTTCAGGACCCAATGGTTATAGCATTGCGGAGGGTAGCCTCCAATGGTAAGAAGGAAATTGTCAACTCGTCCAGGCGCGTGTAAGATTGGCTTGCGCGTGTAAGTTTGAGAGCAATTTTTGTGCAATCTGGATTGCACTATTTTCATACTTGGGCGATAAGGAACCTACCGCGTTAAAATCCTGAGTTGGATTTTGCCGTTCCACTGCCTTTACAAACGCATTCGCTAGTGCTGAACTTCGTTGCAAACAGATAAACTTTACGTACTGCCGTAAATGCTATGGGAAGAATGTCTTATCTTTCGTCGCGATTAACCTTAGTGAGCGTAAATTTCCGCAGCTCGAACAATTTTTTGGAACCTTCTATGCAGCCTTGCTTACTTTCAAATAAATGTTTTACTATTCTAATTTGGCCAAAAAGCTCTCAACGGATGAACAACTACAACCCCAAGACTAAAACCCATGGTTTTGCTGTGGTTAAGTCTCGCTGTTTCTATGAGTTTTGTATCATCTCTATAGGCAGTTCAAGTAACGCATTGATTTTGCAAACCCTACCGAATACAGTGCATTTTTCTCATCTTTCACAAAGCTCGTCATAATTCCATGACAGAATTTTATCTGATGCTGCCAATTTCAGTATTTGTTCATGTCAAACCTCGTAAAACATTACCCTGCGAAAACTTGGGTGGCATTCGGTGCAGCTATTTCTCTTTCTAAGTCTTTTTTGTTCCCGAATCAAGTCTTCGGGGATGATTTGCCATAACTCATACTTTCAAGCTCTTTGCAGGCAACTACTAGGAAACGATTCAATGTTTCGAATTCTTCAACGGTTTCGCTTTGTCAAAACGGTGAATCATAACCTGATTCCAAAAGTTTCAAGTTCCAATTACTTGCGTTTGAAGTGTTAGTGCATGAGAGGAACTTGTTAAGATGCGATGCTTCTGATTTAGAAACATCCATGAATAATTTATGACAAGATGTGGAAAAGACAGAAATTGTCTGTATCCGACGGGTTTGCTCTATCCATACGTTGCTTGGACTGCTCAAAGAACTCGATACATAAATTTCAAATTTAGCAATCTTTTGATCGTTTTTCGAGAGGTCGGCTAACTACTGGGTTGAAACAAAATTAATGCAGCCTTAAATCTGATTTTATACTAGTAAAACTTTTTGCACAAAAACTCTTTCTTTTGCAGAAAAAAATCTCATTACTAGTTTTTTCCAATCTAGTATGTATTCTTGTCTTGAAGTAGCTTTACCAAAAAAATTTCATAGCCCTTTTTGAAAAACCATAACTTACTTCTAAATGAAAGGTATCTAAGATAGCGCAAACATCAATTATTGAGGCAAAAATGTCTTCCTTAGAGACCTGGAAGGGAGTCTCACACTTGTTTCTGACCCTGTGCGATCAAATCTCTGTTCTCAACTAGCTCAGTTCGATGCCTAGGAGTAAACACTCCGAGGTAATCTATTGTAAGTAAGGTATCAAGATTTCCACCAACCAAATGGCAACAGTCTTCAAAGATCCACTGGTGGCAATACACTAGGAATGACCATTATAGACAGCTCAAGTAATAGTGGATATGTTATCTATAAGTGACAATGTCACAAAATGGCATCAAGTCACTCGCGGTGGAGAGCTGTTCATTTTGTTTCGTTTAGCTCAGGTTCGCGGGAAAATATTCATGCCGCTTTGAGCGTTTTGCGAGCAGCAATCTTCTACTCGTGACCTAGGATGATGCATATAATACTGAAGTCATTGCTGTGTCAATCTACCTTCCTGAACGGACTTGACATGCTTTACTGTACACTAGACAATTGTTCATTGACTCGCAAGCTGATTTGATGATTGTCACTATGTCGGTTGCGAGGCATTATGAACGTTAAATTTCGTAGACAATGCCAAACTTGGTACAGTCTGCCATCTTTTCGTAAAGATAAGTCCCAATGTTGTTTTGGGAGATGCTTAAGGAAATAACATCTCGCTCCAACTGGACTTGTTTATGCAATTCTGAAATTCTGCTTTACCTTATCGAAAATAAACGATAGACATAGCGGGAGTCTGACACGAGCTTGGCTAACATAATTATTTGCGGTGTTTTTGAGATCTCCAGCTCTTGATGAGAGGTGGCCATTGGAAGCTGCTATCTCATTTGCCAGTTTGATTGATTGCTGTCGTTCGCTCTCCTGCAGATTCTCCCATGCCGTCTAAACATGTTCCGCACTACTGCTCGTTTTGGAGCCAACGGATGGGCTGATTTCGCGTGTAAGATGATATTCTTATAGACTCGTTGACCATTGTACTCGTATCGTACCGTTATTTAACATTAGCTGGGTGTACAAATACGGAAGCAACCGTTTCAAAGAACTTTTTTCAGTAAAAACTTGTGTACTGTATTAGTTGTTTTAGAATCTTAAAACACTTCTCCAGTTTGGGCTGTGTTAATGTTATAATGCAGCATTCATCAATATATCGACAGTGCATGAGCGGGCATCGTGATAGCACCGGTCTTTCTAATCTGCTCCTAAAGCAGATGGCTAGCGTAGGTGCTAATCTTTGCCCAACCCTCTTAATTTTGAGTAGTATGTACTCACAAAAAGCACCGGTCTCACGTACTTTTGAAAATATCGCATTGAGATATTTCTCGATCAGAGTCGCGTATCGCCATTGCGTCAAACTGCCCAGAAAGCGCTTGAAGACCGTTACCGTTAGACTCGTTTAGAGTGAGATATCAAATGACTTTATTGCACAGCTCTGGTCGAATTGAGCATGGTGCCGACGATCAAGAGAATGTCTTGCATTTGTCACTTAGTCCAGTATTTTGACGAGAAATTGGATGATAATTCTACTCAAGAACCATGAAACCATGATATCCTATCGGTTGCACCAATTATATAGCCAATGATTGGTCGAATCGTTTGAAACGAGGCAGACAAGGAGCTCATGCCGGGCTCAGAGAGCTTATGCGTCTTCACAAGGCTGTAAATAAGGCAGTATAGATTGCTAAATAGTCTGCTGAAAACTTTTCGTTGAGGCCAGCTTCTTTACTAAGCATCATCCATACTTGATTTAAGCGCTTGCACTGAAAGAGGAATTCTTTTTCACCTGTGGAAAATAGACGGTATCGTCTGAGAGATCGCGCTCGGTAATCTCGCGGTCCAGTTGTTGAGACATGATAACTCTCCGCCCTCATTGCTAGTAGGAAGGCGGATGATCTCTCTCTCTCTCTCAATCCCAGTAATTCTTTAATTTGCGCATGGGTCAAAATGGTTTGCTAAATGTTCCTGTTTTTGTCCAAGACATTGAGTGTGCCTGAAAAGAATCCAAAAATTAACGTCTGCGGTATGGCAAGGTACAGGTTCCTTGTAAAAGGATGATGGAAAAGGAATAGGCGGGCTTTTACTTAACACGTTGGTTCGCTGTAACTACTTTTCAGATCTCAACTTCGCTCGAAGCTAGTTCCTCAGATGTTGCAGAGATTTAACTAGCTCGATAGGTGCTCGCGCCGATGTTCTAAGCGGGCGCAAAGCTAAACTCAAGAGCTAAGCTCTTTAGCTTTTGGTCCTAGCTCATCCTCCTCTCTACTAGCGATGAAGACGGAGAGTTTGTTGTTACGTCTCAATTGGACCGTGAAATTACCGAGCACTATCTCTTAGACTAAATTTTCCATCGCCGCATGCTCACAGATAATCGCCAGGGGGCAGGCGGTCCTCAAGCTCGCGCTTTTCTGCAAGAGGTCAGCAGAATTTCAGAATGTGACCAAGTCTTAAGCAAGCGGTAATTCCTTCACTGTCGCAAGTTCTGCCAGCGGGTAGCAATACAAATTCTAGCGCTCGTTACAATTTCTTTCAGCGACCGTTGGCCAAACTTTCAGCAGGCGCTCGGACTCTTTTCATCTAGTTTTTGGCTTTCCCCGAGCAAAGGTAAGTCTCTTTATGGCAGAGGCGTCATCGATGGTTTAATTCCCCCTAGCTCAAATAATCGCCGGGGCAGGCGGTCCGCAAAATTTTGGGGTGTGGCCAAACCTTCAGCGAGCGGTATTCCGTGTGCCAGCAGGCAGCAATACAATATTTTCTGCAAGCGCTTGTCAAATAATCTCCTTCAGCGAGCGCTGCAAGCTTTCAGCAAGCGCTTGGACTCTTTTTATGTAGTTTCGGACGTAGGCCGAGCAAAAGTAACACTCTACATAACGTAAGTGCCATTGATGGTTTGATTGCCCGAGTTTGAGGTACTTTCTCTCAGCGGAAGGTACTTACTGCTGTGCAGTCCTTCACCACGTAACTTTTGTAGATAAACATCTTGCCGAAATAGTCATCGTTGGAACCGTCTTGTTCTCCGCTTTCAGAAAATATATGCTTTAGCTGAGTCCGTAAAAAAGAGTGGGTAATTTTTATTATGGGAGTTCTCAAATGGAGGCTTTTTTTTACCATTGTGAAAAGACGTGCCATTATAAAAGTCTCACCCACCCTTCGCCCGGCATTTTGTAACGTACCCAGGCAGTATATTTCTAAAAGCGGAAAACGAGACGGTTTTAATGGTGGTTGTCTGGCGTACAAGATTTTCACCTACAAAAGTTATGAATTTTTTATGTTGAAAACTCACAAATCTGCAGAGATCACTAAGCACACCCTTCCCCAAACATTTTTGGACGAATCTCAGACATGCTATATAATTTCTGAAAGCGGAAGACAGCGGTTTCGAAGTTGACCATTTCCTTTTACAACTTATTTATTACAGAAGTTACGGATTTTTCTTAATTTTAAAACTCGTTAATATCCAGAAATCACTACCCACACCCTTCATTAGGCCCCTTTTTTCAAAAGATTCCAGGCAAACCATTTATTTTCTGAAAGCGGAGAAGGAGACGGTTACGATGGTTACTATTTCAAGTTGTTCATTTACAGAAGTTACGATTTTATTTTTATCTTAAAAATTTGGAATATCCAAAATCACTACCTACAAGCTTCACCAGGCACTTTTTTCAACAGATTCCAGGCAAACTATATATTTTAAGGAAGCGGGGAACAAGTTAGTTTTAAAAACAACTTCCTTGCTGACTTGCTTTTCATCTACAGAATTGGAGATTTGTTCTTACAGAAAATTCGCAAATGCTTGAAAATTGTCTAACTCTTTCCGAAACAAATGTTCTCGCATGCACGTTTTTTATGGTAATTTTAAAAACAGGCAGAATGATGTAGAAAAGGGAAAAAGAAAAATGTAGAAAAATACAAAATGCTGGTCAGAAACATATTTGTGCGCTAATCCAGCAACACATCGGTTCACATTTCAAAAAAAAGACAACTAATAAATAATGGCAAAGAAATAAAAATTATAAACTTTGACTGAGATAAATGATGAGAGAACACCATGGCTTCCCCCTCCCCCCCCCCCTCCAAACCCCGTTCGACAATTTATAATTTCTCAACCAAGCGTAAACCCTTCACCCGGAGGGCCTGCGACTGCTGTGACCGCCTTCACCCTGGAAAGGTCACTCTTACTTTATCGCACTTGTGCATTAGACTGCGCTTTCTGCTTAGGCAAATGTAACTTGACATTCGTGTGCGCCTGAAAAGACCGCCATCGCCGTTATATACATGCTGCTTACCACCGCATTTTTGTGCTTAAATAGTAAGCAGGGCTATAGTGTTTGATGTTCTTACTGCTGGATTTGCGAAAACTATTAATTTACATGTATTTTAGTATTTTAGCAAAGGGAAAATCTTTTGAATGGTTTCATAGTACTGCAATAAGTGGAAACTTGTAGGAAATAGCTGCATTCAAAACAAGGAAACCAAAAAATGGGTGAGCTTTCAAAGCGTCTAATACATGTTTAATGAGCAGGTGACCGTGCTTCTTGGGCATAATGGAGCGGGGAAGAGTACTATGTATGCGATGATATGTGGAACGGCTTCTGTAACAGAAGGTGAGTTTTGAACAGAGATAAATAGGAGTAGCATAAGCGCTCAGCAAAAAGATGTATGTTATTAAGATCCCTTCGGGACACCAATAGCATATCTGCTTTTCAAATGCTAAACTTTCTTAAGAAGTCTTGACCAGAGTTTGCAAGTTTTGCTTTGCCTGCGATCAATGTATTAGGTGTCGGATGATTGCTGTTAACTTTCAATGTGAAATTCTGGAAGATTTTGGAAAACTCTTAGAATCTTGGAATTTGTTCATATGTAGGGCTTGAAAATGTGCACACTCATAACTCGTATGATAATCCTATCGACAGCCATTTAGAAGACAATCAGGTTCTCTAACTACTATTCCCCAGAAGCAGCCCCTGGTGAATAAAAACCAGATGCTTCTAAGCACAAATTACGTCCACAATAAGAAGTCTCCTTTTGCAGGTTTGTTGTGAGTTGCCTAAACGCGAAATTTTGGTTGTCGTCAGAATAGGATCAATGATTGGGAAGTTGGTATACGAGCTTCACAACAAAAACGGACTCTTTGGTTTTTCTTGGCCGTGCGGCATCCCTATGGAATTTTATACCCATGAAGAAAATCGCCTTAGACATGGTTGTCCAACAAATTGACTTAGCAGAAATCACCCGGCACAGATCGTCTGGAAGTAGGCTGGACTTCGTTTTTGGTGTAAAAAGCGAAAAGCTCGTTTTTGCGAAGTCGGGACCGACCACCAAGGATAAAGGCCATTTAGTCGAACACAAGCTTTTCGAACAGGTTATCATACAATTGGCATGCTCTATTGTGTGTGGCGAAAAATGGCGCGATTCAAAAGCAAGACTAAAATAAACAAATTGCTTGTTTACAGTGCACACAGGATCATATGACTCCAAAATTGAACCGTATGCATAGAAAATTATTTGCGAAAGAATTATGTAAAAAGATTTAAAAATTTAGTGGAGAAATACTTTTTACAAGATTAGTCCTTCTCCAGAAGGCCACCAGACGATCTGAGATCGTCTGGAGCATATATTTCTGTCACTTCACATAAGTTTCGGATTTTCTTAGCCTGGACGGATTCCTCGGTCAAAGGTCTGTTCTTGAGCATGGAGAAATTTCATATCATTGCCTTTCCTTTGTTTTTTGCCTCAATTTTTCAATGAATGGCTTTGTTTAATATCGTGCTATAATGCCAAACTTCTGTGCATGCGTAGTATTCAGCTTCAGTCTGGATTTTACATCTTATCTCACGTTTCTTCTTTCAAACTAGTGAATTTTTTATTGTTTTCATCTTCTCCTAACTCAGTAGGTCAAAGGAGACTTCGCAAAGCTTCCGAAATTCAGGGGGGACTTCGTTTTCAAAAAGCCCAGAACTCGTACCTGGCCCTGGCGAAGATCGACCACATTCTCACCAACCGAAAGTCGAGCTTGCTCGATGTCTCAGTAGTTCCTTTTTTCTGAAGCGGAGCCCCAATCATTGCCTCCTTCGAGCGCATGTACGTTTAGTCAAAAAGAAAAGAAATTCTGCTGCAATGCGCAAGAAGAAAAAAATTCTTAAAGGCTGGAAAAGTTTATATCAAGTTAACCAGCCCTCGGAAGCACCTAACGTGTCACTATGGCCAGCTTCTGAAAGGAATGCCAGCACAAGAATGACTCAAGATGACTCAGTGTATCTTTGATTCAACTGGTTTAGCTCCGTCAGGGCAGGCCGCTCGCGCCCGCGACGCACTTGCGTCTCTCGCGCGCGAGTGCTCTCTGATCATTCTCTAGCCTTAATTGGGTCACGAAGCCCGCCTTTGCCGAAGCTCAGCCAGTTGAATCAATTGTAGCAACTGGTAGCGTTAAAACTGTACCATCCGCAGCTGCTGGCAAAGCCGCTGCAGATGGTACAGTATTAACGCTCATCGTTTAGAACTTTTTAGAGGAGTTTTGTCGCACGTCGTCCCGCTGAGGTGCGAAATCAGTCTCAGAACTAGCGTGATATCCTTGAATTATATCATTTTGAACAGCAGAAAATTCATCATTTTTTGAAAACCATGCAAATAAGCACGGTTATATAAAGAAGAGCTTTATAAAGAAAAATGGTCACAAGGAAATGATTTTGAAAACCCAAAATATAAGCTGAAATTTTCGGAAAATCTTTGATTACTTAATATCTTATTTCCTACTTTTTAACGTCGGAAAACGGACGAGATAATTACAGAAAAATGCCAGGCATTTTTATTGGTTGTTATTATAATTTATGATTTAATGATGTTAAACGAACTAAATAAGCTTCAAGGTCAAATAGCAAAGATCATCAAAATCAAAATATCTTTTTTTTTGTAGTTGCGAACAAAAGCTCTGAATCCAAGCTTACATCAGGAAAATGATCATGATTAATGAGGTATTTTGAAAAAAAGTAATAGTGAAAAATTCGAACCCCAATTTTGTTGCAAAATAAAGAGTGATACAAGAATCACCCCTAATAACTAATCTAAGGAACCTTATTTTGATTCTGATTTGTTGACGGAAGAGAGAGTTCTAAAGAAATTTCCATTGAAAAAAATTTGATTCTCAGAACAAAAATAGAAATTATTCGGTTTTTTGTTTGCATCTTTGCAAGTGTTTGCAAATTTTTGAGAATTTTTCGGCCATTTTGTATTCGAATGCATCGCTTAAAATACGAATTTTCTGCTGTTCAAAATGATATAGATATCGAAAATACGCTATCCATAAGGCCTAAAGGGCGGGCATAATTCACGCGATTTCAGTGCGACGCAATTTGGCAATTTGCCAAAACGTCGGATCCAACATTAGCAAACTGCACATGCATAGTGTGTATAACTTACGTAAACTGATGAAATGCCCTATCTTCTGTACATTTATAATGTGCTTACAATGAGTTATGGACACCTGGAATATTGCCAAATCGCGTCGCGATTGAAATCGCTTGAAGCATGCCCGGCCCTTGAGGCATACCCCACGCGATTCTGCTGAATCGCCACTTTCATGCAACTTGGCAATTTGCCAGATTTCTACAAATCTATCGTGCGCGCTTCTCGAACGCATATCTGGGTAGCTTGTGTAAGTTGTTGCAAACGCATCAAGTTCTGACCAAAGGCAGGCATTAACAACGAATAACGAAGAGCTGCGGTTGTGCCAGATCGCGTAGCGACTGGGATCGCGCAAGCTATGCCTTAGGTCTAAGGCTGATTTTGCACCTTGGCGCGACGACGTGCGACAGAACTCCTTTCAAAAGTTGTGAACGATGAGTGTGATCACTGTACCATCTGCAGCGGTTTTGCCAGCAGCTGCGGCGGCTGGTTGCGGCAGCAGTCAGCTGCCCGGGTACCACTTGCTACGCACCCCCTTCAAAATAGTTCCAAAAGTTCTTTTCGATAGTCACTGAGTCAAGCTCCGCGGGCTGGCAGTCCTTTCAGAAGTCGACTATAGTGGTACGTTGGGTCCTTTTGAGGGCTGGTTAACTTAATATGAACTCTTCCAGCTTCAAGCGACTTTTTTTCTGCTTGCAACATTGCACCAGAACTTCATTTCCAGCTTTTGACTACTGCGCTCGAAGGGCGGCAGATTGGGAACGATTGTGCTCTGCTGGACGACCATGTTTACAGCGAGTTTTTCTTCGTAATCATAAAATCCCATTGGAATGTCGTGCGGCGAAGAGAAAACTGTTTTTTTTTTCTGTTTTTGTTGTAGAGCCCATTTTGATGGCAACCAAATTTCGCGTTTGAGCAGTTCACAGCAAACCTGTAAAAGGACTTCTTATCGCTGACGTAATTCCTTCATGTCTGCATAGAAGCATCTGGTTTCAATTCGTCAGACGCTGTTTCTGGGGAGTAGTAATTGGAAAAGCTGATCTTTCGACATAAAGGTCTTGGCTGTAAAATGGCTATAGATTTGATGGTTCTGTCATGCGAATTAGTGAGATGACCATGGCGTGTCGTCCAAGCAAACTTGTCCTTTTTGTCCGATCCGCACCCTGCGGAGACCCTGTCATCGTGTTCTTTCCTCTTTCTTTTTGCTGATGCCTAAGAAATTGCTATCCTACAAGACCAGTGTCTTAGTTGATTTCCACGAGGCGCGCTAACACTATGTGTGGAGCGGGAACAACAATTGGAAAACAAACGGCAAGGAACTGGCCATGTCCGGTCTTAGCTAGTTTTCCGCCGAAACTAAAATGTCAACTCTTTCACAGCTTGGAAATCCTATCAGAATACATAATACATTTAATGTACCTTGCAGCTCGACACCAAAGCTGTCCCACTACGCTGAGGCGGTGGAACCATAGTGATACTTACTCAGATACTTAAATGGCCCATCTTCACGTGGCGTGCGGGCTCCAACGCAAAAGTTTCCATTTGTCCCTGTTTCTCGCTTCAGACGTCCACGATCTTCTTGGTTCCCGTCGGTGGCTGCGTTACGAGTTCCAGGTGCAGTAATCGTATCCAGCTGATTTCTCAGCTGGTCCATCCGTTCCGCGAATACGTCTGCCATCTCCTCGTTGATCTTCTTCGGGGACGTTTTGCTTCGCGAAGAATCCACTTCGACGTTCTTAATGTCCATCTGTCGCCTGTTCTTCTCATGATGTGACCGGTTCATCGGCGTCTCTCTTCCGCAACGTGTTCCGCTGGGTCACGAAAACGGGACATTCTTTTCATGTCCGTACTGCGAACTCCGACTAGATGCTGCTTGTGTCGGGCCATCTTCAGAAGACTGCGCTCGAGCGCTGTGTGGATGCTCTTTAAAGCTTTCGACGTGGATACAGTGTCCGCCCAAGTCTCAGCTGCGTAACCGAGCGCCGGGAGAAGGGTTGAGTTGAACAGGTGGGCACGAAGCTCGGGGTCCGTCAGTTGGTCGGTGGTTTCCTTTAAAGGCCCGAAGGCGGCCCGGGCTGCTCTTCTCCTCCTGTTAAGTTTTTCCCTCAAATCGTTCTCCATGTTCATCGAACGTCCGAGATTATACGTAAGTAGACGTTTCTACGATAGAGGTGCCTTCCAGTTTCATTCCTGCATCTTTGTAAAGGGTTCTTTATGAACTAGGTCTTCTTTGGATTAATTCGCAGTCCTATCTTCTTTCCTACTTCGTTTGGTTCCATCAGCATCGTCTCACTTCAGTGATACTGCTCGGAAAAACAATGATGTCGTCCGCAAAACGAAGATTCGACAGCAATCTCCCATCAACTCGTATGATTACACGCGATTTTAAGTTGTTTAATGACAGCTAACATTTAAACTCTTTTAAATCGGACTTTGAAAGTGTGTATTGTTGCGACTTTATAGGTTTTGTGGAGTGAGGTTTGCCCTATCAGAGTGTGTCTTACCTGTACCGATCCATCGAAACAGGCTCTTGAATAAGCAGGTAAAATCCGTTTTTCAGCTCATAACTTCTTCAGGACTGCATGAGTCATGTTGCAACTTCATAGGTTAGATTCTCCTCTTCAAGAGCTTTTAGATGATATATAATATGTGAAGGATTCAATGTTTCTTGCGTCTCTAGCCCGGGGTGGAGGCTTTTCATCACGAATTCTCTTCCCCGCCCATTTCAATGTATTGGCTGGAGGCCGTCAGTGGAGAATTTGTGATAAAAAGTCGTCTCCACCCCCGGGCACATGCCGTGGGAGGCTTGAATCCTTCACATATTACATATCATTTGAAAGCTCTTGAAGGGGAGAGTCTAAGCTATGAAGTCGCAACATGACTCATGCAGTTTTGAAAAAGTTATGAGGTGAAATATGGTTTCTTTACCTGCTTTTTCAAGAGCCTAGGATCTCGGCGATGTTTCAGTGGATTGGACAGCTAAAACATGTTCTATTAGGGCAAACCTCACTCTACAAAACCTATGAAGTCACAACATTACGCTCTTTCAAAATCCGGATTTATAAAAGTTTAGATGTCAGCTGTCATTAAGCAACCTAAAATCGCGTGATTTTTCAAAACTCTCGTTCTCGGCGGCCACTCCTCAAATCAAACTGATTCTTTATCTGGTAGAACAACACTTACACTTCATAACTGTGAAACCGCAATTGCTGACATCTTCAAACGGCAGATTTATAACAATGGAGTCATCGCTTAATTTTTCATTATTTTATCATTCGAAATTTTGGTTCTCGGCGGTTATTACTGCCTAAATCGACTACTTTTTTTGCAATACGTCAGAACAAAATGTACTTAATAAAACACATAAAGTCTAGCTGAGCAATCACAAAACACCATTTGATTAACACGTTTATTCAAAATATTTATGCAATTGTATTTATCGTATTTGTGGCCCCAAAGAGGGCCGTTGGGTCACAGTTATTGGTACTGGACCGTTGGGTTGGAGCTCTTCATCCAAATTCTTAAAGCTTTGCTCTATCGTAGAAGTGCTGAGGCGTTTATGCGTCCATGTCGGTGATGGCCTTCAGGGGTCGCAGTGGGCGACGACGACTTCCTAAAAGTAAACTACATAGAATATGCTTTTGAGATCTTTTTTGCATTTGTATTGCTTATTTTCCGCGCACTGGCGGCAACGACCTGGAGGGATAGACGTTAATGCTCTTCCCTTCCCCACCCCCCCCCCCCCCGGTCGACGTATTTGGGAGGTGAGTGTCTAGCACTTCCACCTTCACTTTTGGCCGGCCAGTGGTAACTGGGACTACCTTCATTTTTGGTGGGTCCGGCTCCCCCATCGCACATCTGGTACCCATTTGTGCAACCCTCTTAGTCGTTATAATTGACTATTTTATAATAACTTATTTTCTAGTGACAAATAATAAATTCTTCTGTCATCTACGAATGATTGGCATAACTCATTTATGTTTCAGTGGTACCAAAAGGCATCGACTATGGTTTTGGAAATTAGAACGTTTTAGACTCTAATGACAGTCCGTGTTTGTCTATACTCGTTTGCGACACCTTTTTTGCAAGGAGAAAGTGCTATTTTTAAAGACATTGTTTGCGACTGAGAAGCTTATTTTCTACATTCCAAAGCTTTTTTTAATTCGGATTATCCTTTTTTACGCCCCCCCCCTCCCCCCACCGCTGTGTTCCCTTTACGATCCATTCCCCCCCCATTGCGACAGTCGCATCACACGCTTGACCCTGCTCATATTCGATGTCCAATATTCCTTGACTGCCGTTCCAGCTTCAGCCTCACTTCGACATGCTTGGAGCATTTAATGTCCATTGCTTCTGAGATATATTAAATCTTCGCGCACGAAACACAGACTGAGTCTAGCAACTCAAATACATAATTGACCATTTTTTGCACTTCCTTAAAAGTAGTGAAGACGGCAGTGAAGTCAAGGAACGAATATGTACGATAGGTTAACTGTGCTTCTGTGAGTAGAGAAAAATAATAAAAGACATCGCGTTCAGAAGATATTTCAATTCATGGTCCCTTTGTGTTATGTAGAAGTGCCATTGGTAGTACGTGGTATGCCAGCGAGCACCACTGCCACCACTGTTGTCGCATAAAAGTGTGGCCGTTATGACTGCGCGTGACACTATGGCACAGCCGAGGGGCTGAGCCTTAAAGGCAGCGTCCAGGGATTTTCGACTTTTACATCTTTATGTTATCCAGGCTTTTCCATGGCGCTGATTCCGAATATGGAACTCAAAAAGCGTGAGTTTCTCAGAAAACCACCTTTTGGGGTTATTTTGGGAAAACCCGGACGAGTGCTTCTGATGTGTCGAAAGCAAGTATTAACAGGTAAACGTTGTAAGTTCGACTGTGTTGGTCATGTGAGAACACGTCAAGGCTGAAAAGATTTTGTGCATAAGGGGTTGGCCGTCCTAGGGAAGTGAGCGTGGTCGTCGAGCTCGGATCTGCCCAGGCAGATCCATCCACCCAGAATAGCATGTAGTTGTAAAGTGGAACCCATGAGTACCCATCTGCGTTGGTCCGATCTTTTGACGTGGCCTCCAAAAGGAGATACGGGCCTGTGATACGTATCACAAACCGCCATTTCGTATCACAAACCACCTCTGAGTGCTCACGCAGGTGTGCATTTGCATTGCAGTTGCACTGCACACTGCAATGCAACTGCATCCGTGCAGTGCAGCTCCTCAAGCTGGCATGCGATGGGGACGAGCAATCCGAAACTCATCCGCTCCTTGAAGAGAAGGTCCCCAAAAATCGGGTTTTTTGGGGGTTTTGAACAATTTGGACTTCACAACTGTAATCAGGGCCACGGAAAGGCCTCAGAATGGCAGAAACATGAGAGGCGAATTTTTGCCCGGACGCTGCCTTTAAAGCTACTGCAGCGTCGGTGATGGCGCATCTTGAATGAAACCTAGACTTTTTTCTTCAGAAAATTATAGGGTGCGCTTCAAATGCAGTACTGTAGGTGTGATGTTAGTGGCCAAACTGGGGAAAATCGTTGAGCAAATATTTCGATGTCGGAAAGGGATTGACAGATATGAGTGCTACTGTACCATTTGACCCAAACATGACGTAAGGTGTTTCCTGTGACAGAAGAGACCTTTTTTGCAATTTCCTATTTGTTTCTCCAGGAACATGTCTGGTGTAGCAAAGCCTGTTTTGCTATGCCTGTAAAATCAATAGTGTGATGGTATCTTTTTTTACACCTTGGGGCTTTGAGTGACTGAGTTTCTTGTAATTCACCAAGTGTATTAGGTTATTCCGAAAGTAATATCGCATTTTCAAAGGGGCGCCACGTGTGATGGAACAAACATCTATAAGAGATCTTGGTAGCAGTCGATGCAAAATTTCATCCTCTTTCTAATCATTGAGCTTTCAGAAAATAACCAAAATCTGCGACTCATGCTTTTTGAGATGGTCAAGTTTCACAATTTTTCAAAACTTTCATATCAACCCTCAAAAGGAATTTAAGTAACGATTAGATAGAGCAAACCCTACTGGATACAAAACAATTTTTTCTCCTTCACAAAATTCCTCAAATAAATGACAATTCAACTGATGCTACCAATTTGCATACTTCGTCAACTCATATCTCGTAGAACATCAATGAGAGAGCAGCTTGGGTGCTGTTTGATGCAGCTTTTTCTCCCCTTTTTAATAGATGTTTTTTGCTCCCAATTTGTTCAGTCTCCGGGGCTAAAATCGTCATAACTCATGTTTTTGAAAGCGCCTAAGGTTATACGCGAAAGACTCGAAGTTCAGCATTTCGAATCCGCAAACTTTCATTTGCTTTACAAAATAAATATTAAGTCATATATCATTTTGGATGCTTCAAATTCCGAATGATTACTAATGTTTGATGCGATTGCGGCTGACGTAGGCTTGCCAAGATCGAGAGCTATAAAAAAGAGAAAACAAAGTAGTGCTGTATTCAATAAGGTTTGCTCTATCTGATCGTTACTTGAACTCCTTGTGGGGATTGATATAAAAGTTCTATAAAATCGTGAAACTTGACCAGCACAAAAAGCATGGGTCGCAGATTTTGGTTATTCTCCGAAAGCACATTGAGTGCGCTGCAACGATTTCATTACTGTTAGAAAAAGGATGAAATTCTGCATCGAATGCTACCCAGATCTCTTAGAGATGTTTGTTCCATCACACGTGGCGTCCCTTTGAAAAAGGCGAAATTACTTTCGGAATGACCTAATAAAAATGCTTTTGTTGTTTTTGGCTTTTTGGAGATGTGCACACACGTTGTAAGACGCTCTCAGTTTCTCCTTCGTTTTGCTCTCAAAGTTTACAAGTGTGCTAAACTGCCTATCAATATCTTAAATTCGCGTTTCGTTTTTTCCCACCATAGTCGGCAGTTTTAACCGTTTAAAACTTTTTTGTTAATTTTTCATACACCATCACGCACATGTTCAGGTAGAATCACAGTTTTGGGAGCGCAGTACTCAAACGCGATTTGCGCACGGCGACCTCCTATCGGATATTGTCCTCAAGCAAGCTGCACATTCAATCCACTCACAGTTGGAGATCATCTACGACTACTTTTCGTCCTAAAGAAGGGAGAAGGCGTATGGATGGACGAAGCGGAACCAATTTGTGCGCAACTGGACATGGATTTCTTGATGCATAAGGTAACTTCATATCACTTATCAATAAGACTAGTTTCTCAAGCGTACTATTTCCAACAATTCAAAATCGCACTATTTTTAAACTTGAGAAAGAAAAATGATAATGTAATACTATATAGATAAAATTTTTACGCTCTATAACAAAGTTTATGCGTAACATTCCATGGTATAAGCACCATAAACGAAGTTTTTAGAGATGGCGTTACAAATTCTGCGATTTTGAGTTTGGTGCTAAGAAATCGCGGAGAATCGTTAGATAGCATGAAAAGGACCTACAAAAATTGGTTATACAGCAAAAATTAATACGTTATTGTGACAAGCTTTGATTTTGTACGGGTACGCAAGAACAAAAATTTCTGCAAATGGCCATTTTACAGGGAAAACTTTCTCATTATTGCACTTTTCAGCGCAATTTTTGACGCTCTAGAAAACGCCGCAGTGTCTTAACTAGGCGTTATGTCTAAGTTTTTGCAACAGCAGCCCCAACAGCTTCTGCGCAAGGGCAAACGATAAGGGATCATCTTATGAAATAACATTCTTTCAAAATTTTTTGGTTCACATTTCCATACAAAGTTGAAGCATGCCAAAGTAACATATGGACCTTGCTTTGTAAAAAAAACATCCAGATTTTTTTTAAAACGGCGGCCCTGCGCGGTCTTCCGGGCACTCAAATTCACAAACTTTGGAGTGCATAATCTACTAGAATACGGGACCATGGACTAGGCTTAATATCTAAAAAGTTTTGAATTTCATTTGAATTACGCAAGAACTTTCTAACTTAGCACATTATTTGACATGATACAGGGTGTCCAAAAAATATGGTACTTTGATTATTAATAATTTTCTTGCTAAAAACTTCGAGAAGCTTTAGCTACTTGTGGAGCTATCTTCCACAGATTTCTCCAGCATAAAGCGATTTACCGACTCCTGTTTATACTGCACTAGCTGGCTTACCCGGCTCCGCCTGGCCTTCTCAAAAACGATAAAGGTTCCATTTCTATCCCTGTACACCTTTACCTGTGCCCACTTCTACATTCCCTATTTCCGCTGCGTGAGTAATCAGTATGCTCACCTACCTTGCTCACCAACCCCCAGCCCCGTAGCTCAAACTTTGCACAAAAAACAATAAAATCGATAAAAGTAAGGATAATTCTAAAAACTGACGGCGTTATTCGACTATCCGGGCCCCAAAATGTTTTTGTGACGGATCTTGCTCAAACTCGGAATATGGGGGTTAATTGAGCCGCTGATGGCAATATCATAGTCATCGCGTGGCAGTGGGTAAAAATCATAAACCTGCCTGAAACCTTGGCAGGGAATTACCTAAAGTGCTGTTCAAAGAATATCGTACTCAATTCCCGCGATAAAGGCAATTCGTGTGGTATAAAAGTTTCACACGACCGCAATGCTTTCCTTATAGGACCGCTGCCGCGCGCAATACATCCTTCGGCGGCTTTTGCTTAAACAGAAATAGGGGAGGGAGAGCCGCGTGCAATACACTCTTTGGCGGCTTTTGCCTAAGCAGAAATAGGGGGAGGGAGATTTGTCGCGTGCGATACACCCTTCGGCGGCTTTTGCCTAAGCAGAAATAGGGGGAGAGACATTTGCCGCGTGCGATGCACCCTTCGGCGGCTTTTGCCTAAGCAAATCAGGGGGAGGGAGATTTGCCGCGTGCGTTACACGTTGGAACAGGTTATCAGGATGGCGCTGGAGACCGCCATGCAAAACGACCGTTTCCCTATTTCATGAATATTTGGGATCTAAATTGGCCCTGTCCATTCAAATCCTGCAACTCACACAACTTCACTAATGCGTTATGACAGCGAGCAAGTTTCATATTCATAAGCAGTATACTTGTGAACCGTTACTGGTAAGGTTTTGAGCAAATCTGGAACTTCGACCCATCTACACCCACCGTAACCCAAGAAAATGCAGCATCCTGCGAAATCAACATGATATTTATGTTCAGCGCGCTAAATGACCACCCTAGACGAAGTTTGAAGCAAATCTATGTTTTCGACCACACACCGTATATAACCACCCTAACTCTATGAAGAGGTCCCAATATGCAGAGAGAGTATGAAATTCGTAATCAGCGCTTCGAATAAGTTCTTTGGACCGAACTCCAGCCGAATTCATGATTTTGACTTCCTATCTGTAATCAGCATGTAAGATAACCCTTATACACGAATCTGAGCAAGTTCTACGACAAAATTTTGGGGCCTGGTTAGTTGAATAGCGCCAAATTAATATCGAACTCGTAATCAGCATGCTTGATTACCCCCCCCCTTCCCTGTGCAAACTCCCAGCCCCGTAGCTCAACTTTGCAAAAAAAATCGATAAAATCGATAAAAATAATGGACGATTTTAAAAACTAATATTGTATTCGGAATCCCCATGCTCGATCACCCCCCTGTGCCAACTCCCAGCCCCGTAGGTGAACTCTGCAAAATCGATAAAATCGATAAAATCGATATCGATCGATGACGAAAAGTAGCCTATGACACCCGCCGGGGCCCGAAGTGTATGTGTGCCAAGTTTGGTCCGGATGTCAGAAATGGAATTTTCTATTCGGAACGTACATACGTACACATATACAGACAGACAAACAGACATTCAGCTTTATATATAAGATGATTATTATAAGAATTCATAGCATATGGCGCAACTAAGATAGGTTTATTAAAATTTTCGGAGAATATTTTGAAAATCTCCGAAAAATTGTGTAATACTGTTTTCATGCATGCTGACTTTACCTTGACTTTTTTGCGCGTTCGCAGGGCTTTTAAATTGCGCACTTACATTTTTGGCGAATTTCAGGAACCAATTTTTACGGGTAATCTGGCATAAATTATCAGAAAACGCTACGATGAAATGTTTCATTGAAATCAGCTGGTCTGATTTACCTAGTGCACAAGTTTTTAGTTTTTTTAGTTCTTTTTAGAGATTAAGTATGGTTCGTAATGCTGCAAAACTCTCTCTACAGTTCCTACCGTAATCTAATAATAACGAAGAAAGTTCGGTAACTCCTTCCATGCTACAAAAGTTAGATGAAGCTAGTTTTACAAAATAGCGCTTGAAGCTTTTTGAAAGATCACATAACAAAAGAGTTATCAGGTTGTCCCATAAGTTCCGTTCGTTTTGACTTTCAGTCGCAATAAATCATGAACTACATGTGTCTAGATAGGTTTTAAGTAACTTTCGATAAAATAAAGCAAGCTCTACGAGATGGCTTTCTTGCTTTTGCACCAGCTTTGATACATTTCGGGTTTTAACCCGAAAACTAAAACGGTCGAACTGCCCGAGAAATCGAGAATCATAACTTTGTTTGAAAAGAACCCACATAAATTCTAATTTGCTTTCGTAAACACTATCCATCTAGTACATTTATATAGCCGTAGCCGTATTTTCTACCTGCTAAAAATAAAAAAAAACGAAGATTTTCACGCTTTTGCCAAAATGATGCTGAGATGTCCCTACATAGATTGTTGTGTACTACTAACCTGTAGAAGTACAAATGTAAATTTCTAGCTTCCTACACGCTTTGGTTCTCGAGAGATGTCGAACACAGCCTGTCTTGCTTAGCTGCCTTACGCTAAAATCCATATTTCTTAAAAATAGTGCATCTAGAGAGCTGAAAATTTACATTTTTACTTGTACAGGCTAGCAGTACTGAACTATCTAAGTAGGCACAGCACAGCATTGCTTTAGCAAAAACATGACAATCTTCGTTTTTTTTAATTTCTAACCAAGGAAAAAATACGGCAACGGTTTATATAAATGTCTTGTGTAGACAGTGTTTACGTGTGCAAGTTAGAATTTTTGTAGGGTTTTTATAAACCGAATTACGAATTTTCTCTTTTTTCGGCAATTGAATTTTTTTAGTTTTCGGGTTGAAACTCGAAATGTTTTAAATCTGATGCGAAAGCAAGACACCATCTTTTAGAGCTTGCTTTTCTCTATCGAAAGGCACTTTGAAACTTGTGTAGAAACAAGAAATTCATGATTTATTGCGATTGAAAATCAAAACAAACGGAACTTATGGGACAACCTGATATTTACAATTAAAGCTTTTCTCTATCGAAAGGTACTTTGAAACTTGTGTAGAAACAAGAAATTCATGTGATTTATTGCGATTGAAAATCAAAACAAACGAAACTTATGGGACAACCTGGTATTTACAACAGTGGGCACATCTTTTGGGGGCACCCTGTATTTTTATACACTTAGAAAACGTACTTATCTTTTGGTAATCCATTATTCAAACGTAAAAATGAAAAACAGCATTTTACTGCTGTCCTTTACATTTTACAAAATTAGCTGAAACTAAGAAAACATGTTTTTGTTTAAGGCAAATTCCTTAGCTTTTGCAAGCTATCGCTGGTCAAATTTTATTTTGTCTGTCTACTGTAATTTGCCTACCACTTTGTTATCTACTTGGTGCCTCTACTGCCAAATCAAGCTTTGTAATGTGTTGTCCCTCCTTCTGTAAGCGTGATTATACCATTATGATAATAACAGGCTAAGGGTTGTTTACGTGTGTGTGTGTGTGTGTGTGTGTGTGTGTGTGTGTGTGTGTGTGTGTGTGTGTGTGTGTGTGTGTGTGTGTTGTGTGTGTTGTGTGTGTGTGCTGTGTGAATTTCTGTCTGTCACGAAATTCGTAGAGCGTGTTCCAGCCAACGTCCTGAGCCCAAATTTTGCATAGCGCACGCTACCAGCATGAAAGCTCACTATACAAAAGCATGAGCGGATCCGTTGAGTGGATCCATTGAAAATTGCGCATCAAGCGGATCCACTTGGCTTCTGGCCAGCAAATTTGGGTCCGTAGTACTACTTTTTGTAGAGTCAAGGATGTATTTGACAAGCTAATGTGCAACCATGGACGTTAGCCTAAAATAGCAATGCAAAGTCTACTACTTTACGAAAACAGCGCCAAAAAGCATTCGATGTGTAAACGGTCAATTTTTCAAGATTTTACCTTATCATTTGAGAGGTTTATGCACAGAGATGTAGCCCACCATGTTTATTGTCCTTACGGCGACTACCAAACCATAAAAATTCCAAAAACCTATTCGAATTTGCATCTGTTGTTCTGGGAAAGATTTTATCCACGCGAAAATACCGACCTCACACAAAAAGCTCTAGGAATGAGTAGTTGTTCGCGAATTATTCGTGAAAGCATACATAGCGCGGTGAGCTTCAATGTCATTATTATGTGGGAATGAGTAAGGCATACAGAAATTAGGGCTAGTGCGAGCCTCTGCGAAGCAGAGGTGACGCACTGGTACCATTATAATCTTCTTTCCTACATTTTGGACAAACAGAATACTTTTTCTTGTAATGCACAGAGTTACTGCAGATGTGAAGTGCGACGTTGAAAAAATCTACCGTTGACTCCGAAAAACCTATTTAAAGCTCCTGAGCGCGGTATAACAGTATTTACCTTCTATGTAGCCCACGGTGATGTTCTTGGAATCTTTGCTGCACCAGCTGCGCCGTCACAAAACTTCTCGTGACTCCACTTTTCGTTTCCGTAATGTGTGTATCCTGCCATTTACCTTTAATTGCATGCCTTTATACAGAAGATTAGTACTCACTTAGGTTGAGGAATTCTATCACGGAATTTATTACTGCTTCAAATAATAAGAAAAAATAAACCGAATTTTAATGTTACTCGACCTCACCCCGCCACTAAAAACGAATGTGGACTGATGCAGGCCAGTAGCGGTACGGAGCGGCACCGTCAGCCTTATTTCAAGCTTACGCATGACTTTTGCCTGTTTTTTTTTGTAGTTAGCTAGAAATTCAAGTGCTTTAACAAATTCTGCAAGGGATGATTCTGCTGTTATTTTACAATGTTCCTTACTGTTATGTTCTTTTGTTTAAATCTAAATTTAGATAAGTTGTAAAACCATAAAGGTCAAAAACTTTTGCTCAGACTTTCCTGCTTGGTAATTAACATAAGCCGCAGAAGCTCAATTAAAAATAGACGGAAAATAATCTGGCAATATGGAATCTCAATAACAACATCATTCTCAATTTTAATCGCGAAAGTTAACAAAATAAAAAAAATACCAACTGGTAGAACAAGTGCAAGAAAAGCGTGCATATACACCAAGGATGAGGTGCAGCCGACTGAGGGTTTGAGGGTGCAACTCAAGCGAGCAATGACCCCGCGAGCTTGCGATATCCGTCACACCGACAGAGGCGGCATGCTGCAATGCTATAAACATGAGCATGGCGCAACTATGGCGGAAGCGATTCCACTCGTCCAAATTCAAGGAGGCCGTGAAAATGCTGATTTTTGCCATTTTCGCGCTCTCAGACGCGGATTTCCGAAGTCAGCGCATCGAATTACTTCGGGTAAGCAAAAAACGATATGTCTAGGATTTGCCGAACCATTGCCTTTGAAGCATGTAGATCATCCTTTACTGTATTTTTCTAACAGACCAACTGACAGACAGACAGAATAGCCAAAGCGGATACATTATTTAAAAATAGGTAAGCTTTAAGGCATCATAGATACCGACTAGGGTAGCTATACCTAACGATGTGTCGCCGTGTGTCGCTTTTTGTCATATCGATTGTAGCCAGGCAAGGTTGAGCTGCTTCTAGCTGCTGCAGCAAACGCGATACCAACCGCTAATAGCGATGCTGCGCTGCTCACTGCTAGTCGCTGATGACTCTTGCTACTATAAGATACAAAGCTCATTTTCGTTAAGGTTTTTCCAGCCTACGTTCTGCTATCAGTTGGGAAGCAAATGCTCTATTAAATTTTTTAGGTTTGTAGTATGGCGCGTTCGATGACTGTACTTTTGTCAGCCGAAGAAGAGGCGTAAGTGTGAAATAAAAGTGAAATAAAAGTGTGAAATAGTTTCACTTGTGTTTATTTGATTGTTTAGCCACATCCGAGATAGGTAAGTTTTTATTTAGGCAAACGTTTCGGCAATCATTCGCCTTCTTCAGGGTCTCTACCCTACAGGCAAAATTTTAAGCTTTCTTTTGATCCGAGCAGGGCCACCCGCAGTACTCACCTCTCGTTCGCCGGCAAAGTTCTGGTAGAGGGAACTTAGTAGGGAGAGGGAACTTTACCGGAGAACGTTACCTTTACCTTAAAGAAAGCTTAGAATTTCGCCTGTAAGGTTGAGGAGATGTTTGATCGGGTAGTTTGTAAATTGTTTTTGCCCATTTTAGGCTCCGAAGAAGGCGAATTATTGCCGAAGCGTTAGCCTAAATTCAAAACTTACCAATCTCGGTTGTAGCTAAACAATCAAATAAACACAGAATTCATCTTGCCGAGATTTATAGAAAGCCGAACTTTCCGACTCTCACTTGTATTTTGTCCTCAAAGAATACAAAATTTCCTACGAAAAAGAAAGCGTTTGAGTGATTCTTCCATCGCTAGTATCCAATGTATTCGCTTTACTATTCTGTCTGTCTGTCGGTTGGTCTGTTAGAAAAATACAGTAAAGGATGATCTACATGCCATATACATATACATATACATATACATATACATATACTTATACATATACATATACATATACGTATACATATACATATACATATACATATACATATACATATACATATACATATACATACACGTATACATATACTTATACATATACATATACATATACACATACATATGCACATACATATACATACACATACACATAACATACACATACACATACACACACTTCTGTTATGGCACGAACGAGTCTAATTGCTATAGCTCTTACCATAAATTACCGAAAAATATGCCACTGCTTATTTTGAACAACTTATAGGATTTCCAAGCATATTTGTTATGCGTTTCTATGACCCTTAAAGCGCGATCAAATGATCTCAATAAATCTTGCATGACTCCTGACATTGTCAAGAAAATCTTTAACCTTACCGTGGGCTCGTGCACAAACCCTGCACTCAAAGACTATATTATCTTGAACAAGACAAATTTTAAAAAATTTTGGTATGGTGGTGTGGCAGAAACTACCATCGTACGAATGGAAAAGGAACTGAGGAGTCGGACATAGTTCAAAACTTTGGGTATTTTCTTCATGAATACTAACGCAGAGAGCAAATAAACTTTCTGGAGGAGAAAAACGTAAATTATGTTTGGCCATGGCTTTTATTGGTAGAAGTGAACTAATTCTCTTGGATGAACCAACCGCCGGAATGGACACTCAGTCGAGGTTATTTACGAGAAAGTTCATTGAAAAGGAAAAAAACACAAGGCAAGGAATGACGGCGGTCATAGTTGTAAATAATTGAATAATAAACAGGGCAATAGTTCTCACCACGCATTACCTGGACGAAGCAGAAGCAATGGGTGATTGGATGTATATAATGCACATGGGACGTTCCGTTTGTAGTGGATCTCCATATTTTCTTAAGCAGAAGTCAGTTGTTTGCGAGAAAATGAAAAGTTTCTGATAGCATTGTTCCTATACAGTCGTAGTTGTTGCCCTATTATAAAATTATTGTCTTTAACATGAATCATTGCTCTTCTCTTTAAGGTTTGCGCCCGGGATTATACTAACTGTAGTTTTCAAAGAAAGTGTTCTCGGAGAAAATGTTGAGAATGCAACAAAAGTGAGTTGCTCCACTTTTCTGCACATTAGCAAACCTTTTCGGTAGAAGCATGTGCTTCTTTCATTCAATACTCTTGTACATTTTGTCTTTTCAACTATATTTCACATTTATTCACAAAAATGAAGTAAGGGCTTTCCGTTTGTTATGTACAGGTCGTATCGAAACGCGTCCATCCAGCACTGCTTCGTTCGAATGCATGGCCTTCTTCTCTGTGATTAAAGCGAAGTGCTTTTTTTGCTGCTGTACGGTCAACACGTCGTAAAACGTGGCCATACCATCGCAAGAAGCAATTCAGCTTCATATTCGCATTGGAGCAACTTTAGAGATGTGCCGCACACCGATCTTCGCACCTTTTTCGCGTTGGGTTGAGCAATCTCAACATGCCTGTCTCCTTCATGGTCATGGCCTGCTCGAGTTTCGTGGTAACGGCCAACACTTTGCGCCCTGTAAGGGGCGACTTATTGTACCACTGTGTAGTAAATTTTAATTTGAGATACAGTGCTGGACATAATTATAAAGCCACTCCTGGTGCAAAACTTTTGTCAGTTTTTTCAATCCATTTTCAAGCACGCTAGAAAGAAGATAAACAAACACTTCATAAAGTATCCGATGCAGATTTCTTTCCTCTTTCCAGCTGCTAACTCCCGTTGTGTTTCGTTTAGAAAATGATGAATATTTGCCGGAAATTACAATCACTCTTTTTACCATGTCCAAATTTCAATATTTTTCAAAATTTTTGTATGAAATTTTGAAGGAGCCCCAATAACCCCCAGACAGGGCAAACCTTTTGCCAACAAAAGCAATTTTTGTCTTTTCTTTAGCTGCTTTCAAGGATTTTGCTAAGTAATTTTCTGAAAGTCTTGTATTTTGAAAAAATTGCATAACTTTTCATTGTACCAAACACTGCAAAACCTACAGAATACTGAGTTTTCAACACACGATTATTACTACCGCTACCGTTACAAAGTAAATGAGCAATATTCGCTTTAAATTATGAAGATTTTGAAACATAGATCACGTCAGTGCGCGCTCATGAAATTGAGAAATGCTGCGATTTTCCCCATAAATTTCGTAGAAATTCAAAGACGAGGCGTAGGGCTACAAAAAATTGCTTCTGTTGGTAGAAGGTTTGCCTATCTGGTGGTTAAGGGCTCCTTCGAAAATCTCATACAAATGTTTTGAAAATTAATGAAAGTTGGACATGGTAAAAACGAGTTCCGGTAAATATCTCGTCATTCTCTTAACGAAACACGAGAGTTTAGCAGCTGGAAAGGGAAAAAAATCGGTACTTGTCCGTTATCCGGACCCATTTTTTCAAAGAAGCATATTGCTTCTTCCCTCGTACCAGGTCCCGACTTCACAGGAAGGAGTGTCAACCTTCTGCCACGTGTCAAAAAAATTAACAAAAAATTAAAAACAATTAAAAAATAAAAATTAACATGTCATTTACATGTTTAACAGGTTTAACCAAGAGTTTGAGTTACCCTACCTAGCGACGTAAGTGTAATCTCTTTATTAGTCAATAATGACCCCATTTATCTAAACTATCAAAAATGAGCATAGTTATCATAACAACGTCATCTGTCATTAATTAAACAGATTAGACTTGCCAAGAGTAGAGAACTGGACTAGGATCCCTTCATCTAAGTGACAAAACAAGCAATAGCAAGGAACTTTGAGCCATCATTTATAGTCTCGTCTGGCTAAATTCGCAAGACGAAAAGTTTGAAGAAAAAGACAATGCTGAATCGTTGCTGAAACGATCAAGATGTTCTGATATAAATTTCAGATTGTTTTGCTCTCAGACAAACCAATCAAACAGCTTTTAGGTAATCACAAATGCTCTATTACCTCACCGGAAATGGTTTCGAAAAAAACATGTCAAAATGGACCAGAACGTGTTGATTCTTCTGACACGTGGTAAGAAGGCAGTCCTCGTGGAATCCATAAAAAATTGTTCTTAGACTGAAGAACGTATTTTATGAGAGCTTTTTGAGAAAATGGGTCCGAATAACGGAAAAGAACCAAAAAATCTGCATCGGATACTTTTTCAAATGTTTGTTTATCTTCATTCTAGTGTGCTTGCCAATGGATTGAAAAAACTGAAACTTTTGCACCAAGAGTGGCTTTTTAACTATGTCCAGCACTGTATATTGTGATTCAACAACGGCATACTACTCCTCTTATTGACGATTCAGCCAGGCCGAGTTCGTCTGGTACGGGCGTCAGAAATTGATCCAATTTGGTACCACAAAGCAGCATAGGTATTTGAAAGTGGTGAATTTTAGTGGCTGCACGTCGATACTGATTGTTTTTCCCGCGTTCAAGTGTTTCCGTAGTTTTCCGAACGTTCATCGCAAGCAAAACTCGCATAGACGCGCTTCATGCTTGCCTCTTTGAACTCGCATGTCGAGCTTGCTAACTTGACGTCATACGCGTAGAGAAGCGTTCACGGTGATAGTTGACTTTATCTCGCCACCGTAACTATGCATAATATGAAAAGCAGAGCAGCGCTCAATGTAGATGTACGGGACTTCGTTTTTAGGGCAGATAACAAAAGGGATTGTAGCACATGTACTAACACCTGACCTTTGAACATGATCAGCATTGAACTTTGTACGTGACTGACATGCTCGAATGTGTGGTTGCTCACACGGCTGTTTGTTTACTCAAACAGTTTAATTACATGTCACAATATGGAAAACAACTATGAAATACTTATTGCTTACTGCTTACTCAACTATATATATAGAGTTCTGAAACTCATGTAACACTTGTTCTCGGTTTCAATCGTTTCTTGACCAACATAAAACCAAAAGTGATGATTCGAAATAAAATCATCGAAGGTTAACGCAAGTTTTGGATTTTTTAGCTTGGATGATTTGAGCGCTCAGAACCTACCGTGCATTCAAGAGGCTAACCAAGCCTTTGCTTTTTCTCTTTTCTTGAGTCTTTAGCAGGGTCGCTTCCACTGAGCGAGCGTTAAGAAACGTTAAGAATTGGATAGAGGTGGTTTACTTCTGATTTCCTTTTCATATACAAGTTGCCGTTGCAGATAGATGTACAGAGAGAATATTGTTATTGATATGATTGTTTTCTTTTTGTTGGCTTAGAAAAAGTAATGCTTTTGAACCTTTTTGCTGAAATTTTATACTAACATTTCCTGCCTCTAAATGCAATTCTTTAGCCAATGATCCCTTTTTTGCAATTTCTTCCTATTAACTAATACTAAAGAGGGGATTTGGAATTTGTGAGGTCATGAGTGTCAGGGTTGCCACAAACGAAGTCCTCCTTTAATTCACGGCGTGCCCTGGGATGCCCACAGGAAAAAAGAAACAAAGAAACAAACAGAACAATGAACATCATTATAAAACTCGAGAACCGTAGTGTTTGTATAATTTGTTTTTTCGGCATGCTGTGGCTGCAACCAACACGCGCTTGGAGCAGCTGCAGCCATTTGAAAAATTTGTGGAGGAAAGGGGAGGGGAGCTGTAACTAAGCGAAGAGAAAGGCTTTGCGGTGATTCAAGAACATATAGGTAGGTAGGGTGTATACTTGGGACCGAATCGAATAATTATTCGATCATTCGAATAAATCATTCGAATGCGAATGATTCGAAAAGTCGAATATTCGAATTTTTCATTTTCGAATACATTCGATAGTCGAATATTCGAAAATCTTCATTTTCGAATATTCGAAAATTTTAACTTTCGAATACTATTCGATAGTCGAATTCGAGGGTCATTCATTCGATCATTCGATGTCCATCAAATATGCGAAGATTTGTTGAGCACCGAACATTCGGAAATTCGATAAAAATTGACTATTCGAAAATTCGATAAGCATCGAATATTCGAAAATTCGATATGCATAGCGTATACGGGGTGCCTTAAAAATATTTACACACTGTTTGATCGCTAATACCTCTCAAAGTCTTTTGCCAATTTCTGGGTAACATCCAGTAGGGATGGCTTCAGCTTATGAACACAGCAGAAAGCGAATCATCCATGTTTTTCTTATTGTTTGTTATCACGGTAGTAACTTCCAATATGGACCCTGCAAAATAAGACATCAAAATTGTCCCCCAAAAAGGTCTATAATCTGTGCAGCAGTGTTTTTACGTATGCTGATTTTACTACGCACGAGTTTTCAAGCTTTTCAAATGGCAATCACATTGTAAAACACTTGTTATGGTGTACCTGGCGTAAGTTTTAAAAAAGCATTACGGTTGAGTTATTCAGTCAGTCAATTCTACATAAAGTGAGTGTATTTAGAAGTCCTATGCAATACTTTCGGCCCTTTTGATTCTTTTTTTGAGGAAGTGGCTCTTGATGTTTCGAAACCCGCTTTAATCTTACGGTAATTTTACAACAGTGAAATGCGCTTGATAAATCGCCCCATACTCTAACAAGGAAACGACACTTAGGCCCGTATGCACGTACATCTCTGCGGGGAGGGGAAAGGATCTGAGAGGGGAAGCGCCATATCTTGCTGCTCTAGATATCTTTCTTCCTTCTTCTCTATCGTGCTTATAAAGGTTCTCATACCCTTGTACCTGCGCATAATGGATGTCAGGTTACTGCTATACAAGATTGAATATTCGCTATTTTTTCCGAGCCCCTGGGGATCCCCAGGGATCATCTCACATTTCAAAGTCATTTATCTTCCTGAAAAGTCAACGAAACTGCAAAATTGTATTGACGATATACTACGATACTGCTGAGCATGTTTTCGACAGAAGAAATGGAATCTGAAGATTTTGATTTTTTCGATAATCCCTGGCTCGCAAGCAGCGGTTCGTTGAAGATTTTGATATCTTGAAATTTTACTCATTTCTACCATATACATGTTTAGCAGTGCTAAAGTATATCCATAGTACAATTTTGCAGCGTTTTCATTGATCTTTCAGAAAGATAAATGACTCTGAAAATGTGAGATCATCCCCTGGGGATCCCCAGGGGATCCGACGAATTAGTGATTATCTAATTTTGGATGGCAGT